GAATTGCTAAAATTACATTTATACTTACGTCGTCAATTTTTTTTTGAAGAGCCCGCGGAAAGTTAGAACTTTTGACGGCATTACAGCACAATACTGTTTGATAACAACGTTGGTCACATTCTCGACTATATTGAAAGAACCCTCAACGACATACATTTTGAAGCTCAATTAGTAAAACAGCATCTGATTTCCAGCTGAAAAGTACGTAAAATATTTGCTGGTAAAGTTTTTTTGGATCAACATTAATTTAAAAAGATCTTCATATTCTGATTTTGGTAATTGAGTTTTACCCCACCTTTTCTATTTCTATTTACAGCTAGTTTAGTTCAATTCAAATTCAAAAATAAATTTTTTTTTTTTAATAAATTTAAAATGTTTACCTTGCAATACTTACCTTGCAAAACTTTCCATAGGTTTCTTCTCTGTAATTGACTGAACCAAATCCGCTAAATTTTTGTTGGGAATTATTTTTTTTTAAAATTAAATAAGCAATTTTATCTCAGCGCGAGATAGATAAAAATAGGTATTTACGCTGTATATTATTAAATTGTGTTTTTTTATAAACATTGAATAAAAACAATTTATAATGTAGGGTGAAACCGTTATTAAACTTGGAACTGAACATCTTGGACATATTATTCCTTGCGTAGACAATTTTCACATTGTTGGATGCTTCGCTTTAACTGATCAAAGGAAGCTACTGCTATATATGATGATGGTGATGGTGATGATGACAGAGTTTATCATTAAAATATTGGATCACAAACGTAAGTATTTCAAAAATGTTCAAATTTTTAAAAAATGAATAGGTTATTTATAATTAATTTTACTCCTATTTAAACATTTCTTGGACTAGTTTGTTATTCATGCAAAATGAGTTGTGGTGGCTAGAGAATTTGATTCTTGTCAGAAGTCTTGTCAAAATTCGCGAGAAAACGTAAATCCATATGCTTCTAAGCATTTATTTTGGTATTTCTACATTTCCAATTGATCTTATTATTTATTTATAGTATGAACCTTCAGAAGGCGTCATAATTGAAGAAATGGGTATGTAATGTAATTTGCATTTTTTTTTTTTAATGATCAATTCATTACTAAATGTATTTCACAATTTGTGATTCAAAAATATAAGTTGTCTTACGTCGCGTTATAACTTACAACAGGAGTTTCTTCAACTAATACATTAAGCGATACATAATCTTTTAACATATTTTATGACGTCGATGGCAAAATCTTCGTGGGTACGTAATTTATGAATATAATATCCTTATATATCTTATTCTAATTTGCTATTTTAGAAAGTTGGAGAGGTTATTCACTAAAAATTTTTAATTTTAATATTTTATATGTCATGTAAGATTTGCGAATGAATCGAAATCTTTTTTTTATAAGCTGGATGAATCATACACCACTAATTACTATTGCTTTCTTTCGTTATTATCAAAGAATATAATAATTCAAATAGTTTAGAGGAAATTTGAAGTTTTAATATTATTAAAAAGTTCAGAATCGTAGAGTTTTTGAAGATTAAGAAGAATTAGACTAGATATACTTATTATGCAAGTTCTTAGTAGTAAAATCACCACATTAGTTCCAATATAAGCGTTAATTCATTCATTACCTTTACGAGCGCATAGGAATAATCTATCTCAAGGATTTTCCTGTTCGAATGATTAGGAAATTTATAGAACTAATTATGAAAATTTCACAAACGATCTCCTGATGGTATGGATGGATAACGATAAAGTTTACTGGTCTTTCCAGTATTTTTAACGAAATATAAGGGCTTGAGTCTAAAGATGAACAAAGCATTGATTTACGCAAGCGCAAATTTAAACATAATTCCTTTTGAATGAATGGGAAGATGAAGATACACGAATGGTTGTTTAATGACGAACGTGATGTAGCGGATTAGGTTAACACATATCAAATATACTAGTTATTGCTATTCTTACAACGGTATTTATTTCATGAAAGTATATCTTTTGATCATTAATAAATATGTCCCTTTTGAACATGTCCCACAATTTTTTCGAATTGTGAAAAGATCAACATTTTTGGATTGGCAACTTTTATCAAAGAATGTATCTCACTATCAGTAGTGTAATAGATCTTTCTTGCTTAGATGGTGTCATTATTCAGGCTTGCATTTCCAATTTCATGGCAAATTGGGAAAGTTACATTTTATCAAGCTACACGTGAAACGCTAAACAGAAAAAAAAATAATGTTATTCTAGATGATGTTGAATTTAGGTTCGGTAAACGGATTCCATCAAATATTTTCTATTACAAAGAGGAGAGTTATAAATAATCAGCTACTTTGCTAGTGTCATATATTGGAAGATAAACTGGTTATAATAATTTTTAAAATAAAAAATTATCATATATAACTATATGTAACAAAACTTCAATTAAAATCTTTATTAATTCCGGAGCACAAGTGTAACGAAAGTGACCAACTACGTATCGACTCTAATTTTGAGCGGGCGGACAGCGGGACATTTTCATCATAGCGCGTAGACGATAAAAGTTCTTCGCTACGCTCCAGACTAATAATTGATAATCATAATTCGACCTTCATTCTGACCGAGATATCTTTTACTTATTTCACCTAAGTAGTTAAAAAAACAATTTAAAATCTTGAAGAAATATAATAAAATACAAATATTCATATTAGATGTTACCTTGATTATCGGTTTTGTTGTACTGTGCTAAATCGTTCGTAATCGATGCATAAGGCATACGTGAATCAACTCCTAAAGCATCAACAAGATGCATGCTATAGGGAGCAACTCTTTAATGATCTCTTGAATTAATGGTTGTACAGTCACAGCAGTCGCAAGGTTTGCATAAATTTGAGTAAGGGTGCGTTTCCAGTAAAATCACATTATGGATCATATGATTTACTATATCTCATGACTTTATTTTACTGAAAACGTTTCCATATAATTGTTTTGTAAAATACCCTTCATGGGAAAAAAATCCAATAAGCTTTTAAACCTATTGATGCTTATCCACTACAATGTTCCCAATATATAGATGCAAAAAAAAAGTTAATCCGCGATTTTCAAAAATCGTTTAAAATAATATATATAGATATGATAATCATAAATTACGACCTACGACGATTTTTGCCATCGACGTCATAAAGATATGTTAAAAGATTATGTATCGCGTAATGTTGATGTTTTAGTTGAGAAACTCCTGTAAGTTATAACGCGACGTAACGTTAACTTATATTTTTGAATCACAATTTGCCCTAAATTCGCATGGTAGAAATACACATACCATTATTACTCCATTTCTCGCCTTCTGAAGGTTTCATACTATAGATAAATAATAAGATCGATCGGAAATGTAGAACATCAAAATAAATACTTATAAACATGAATTTACGTTTTCTCGCGAATTTTGACAGGACCTCTGACAAGAATCGTATTCTTTCATCATTCTTAGCCACAACAACCCATTTTCATAAATAACCGACTAGTCCAAGAAATATTTAAATAGGAGTAAAATTAATTATAAATAAATAACCTATTCATTTTTTAAAATTAAACATTTTGAAACATTTACGTTGTGATCCAATATTTTGAGCTAACAATGTCGGTGTATTAATGATAAATTCTGTCATCATCATCATATATAGCAGTAGCTTAAGAAAAAAACATTTTCAATATGTATTAAAATCTGAAAAAATATTTGAATTTTATCTTTATTTAAATGATACATTATTTCCATTAATTATTAATTTTTAATTTTTAATTAAAAATTTAATTAAAATTAATTTTTCTGAATTAAATAATGTTTTAATATTGATTTTTTAGATATTAAAACAAATTTATCATTTTTTATAAGTTTTTCTATAAATTTAAAGAAAATAATAAATTAAATTTAGTAAGATAAGGAGTTACAGATCCTTATAAAGATAATAACAATTGTAAATATGCTTTTTGTATAATAATAGTATTTGAAGATTTTGAAGGAAAAGATTTGGTTTTAAGTAAAATAGGTATTGTAATAGCAGTTAAATGTGGTTTTATATTTTATAATTTTATTAAGATCTGCTCTTTTAAAACATTTTAACTTAAATGTATTAAAAAATAGGTTTTCTATAATTTATTATTTAAAAAAATCATTTTTAATAAAATTTAAAATTAATAATTTAAATTAATAAATAAATAAAAATTATCAACTATTTTGAATATTATAATTAATTTCAAGTATCATAATTGATTTTGACCATTATAATTGATTTTGACCATCATAATTGATTTTAACCATCGTAATTGATTTTAACTATTATAATTGATTTTAACCATCATAATTGATTTTGACTTTTCAAATTTTTTAACAAATAATTGAAATTAATTTTGATTATTTTGACCATTGTAATTATTTTAATTATTTTAATTTCAGTTTTATATATAGTTTAAATGAATTTATTTCTAAGAATAAAATTAAATAATTTAGTTTTTTTGATAAGTTTCAGTTAAAAATAGATTATACTATCTATAGGTATTATTATAAAAATTATTTGGAAATACTTAATTTTATTTGATCACATCTAAAAAAAATTAAAGATGCTGATTAAACAAAAGAATTATAAGCATTATTGTAAATCTATAAACAAATTCCTAAATTTTCAATATGATAAATGAGAAAAAATATAATTGATAAAATATAATATAAATAATTTAATTTGTAATTATAATTATTAATTTTAAAATGTTAATATTAATAATGCTTTAATATGAATTATATATAGTATTCTCTTTTTATCAGATTTTTTCTGACTATTTTATATACCATATATCAAGATCTTATAGGAAATGCAATTACTTCTTTAGTATACATAAGTGATAAGATGAAAGATCATATCTAATTAATATTTAATACATAAAATTCAGATATAACAATTAATTTTCAGATTAATAATGATATCTATAATACAAATTTTGATATTTTTTAGAATAAGCTATTTATATACTTTAATAAGACAAGTATTAAATTTTATATTATTTTTATAATACTTTAATTTTTAAAAAAAATCTAATTTTTAAATTAGGTTATTTATAGCATTCATAATAAAAAATATAATGATGTAATGTATATGCCAGTTGTTATATAAATAAATAACCTAAAAGAAATCATAATTAAAAGATTACAATAAGCAAAAATATTAAAAGAATTTGAAACAATAAAAACTCTAAGTGATGAATGTATACAACTTCAGTTTTGGCTAAAGAATATATATCATAACTTTATAATACAATATATTAGTATATTTAGAATCAAATATATTATTCAGACAAGATTATTACGAAAATATCATCCAAATATTCATTATTACTTAGCATTATTCTGATATATATGGTTATTTGCAATCAGATTCATTTATATACTTGCATAATATTTGTAAATAATAAGCACAAGATTCTAATTGGTGAAAAAGTTGAAGTATTTATAGGAGTTATAATAAAAAATTTTAAGTTCTATAAATGTTAATTTATCAGTTTATGATCATAATTTTATAAAATGTTTAGTATCATTAATTTGTAATGTATCTAAAGATATTGCAGAAAGTTTTTATTCTGGCCAAGTTTATGTATTATATAAAAACTCTATTTTTCAATTAAGTTTAATAATATGACATGTTATTTAATAGCTTTCTTTAATAAAAAATCAATATTCAAAACTATCAAAAATTGCTCTTATCTATACAGATAGTAAAGCTGATCATTAAAATACAGTTCCTGGCGAAAAGAATGGCAGAAAGTTTTTTTTAAATAATGAAAGTTTTTAATAAATAACTTTTAAAATTTTTTTATTATCAAATGCTTTTGATTAAGGAATATACACTCAAAAAATCAAATTATAAAAAGTATTCCCCTTCTGTGTCAATCTGGATTTAAATACAAGTAAAATACTAAAAAATTAGAAAGTTAGCCTTTCTTCTTATTAATTTAACTTCATAGTTTCTATTTCCTACTTCTTTAGTTATAATATATTACTTCTATTGTAAAACATTTAGCTGAACATTTTTTTATTAGTGAGTGAAGCTCATTAACATAATAAAATGGTTTGTAATCTTAATTTTAATGATCAAACACTCAAATTTGACCTTATTTCACAATCGCAAAAATTTTTTCATATTAAAATATGCATTGCGGACTTCAAACAATACATATAGCATTTGAACTAGTAATACATATAAAATACTATATAATTGTTTATACAAATCCTTACAAAAAAATGTTAATTATATAGTAAAAGATTGCACCGCCATTCTTTTTGCCAGGGACTATATATTTGAATCAGTTTAATTAATATTAATTTAACTTTTTTATATGATAATTTTGATTTTCTTGCAACATTAAGAATAGTACTATATCATAGTTGGATGAACCTAATAGAATGCATTATGTTAGTATTAAATTGAGTTTACAGGGTGTAGCATTATAATATGATAAAATAGATAATAAATTGAAAGATGTTTTTAAATCTTTAAAGAAATTTGTAAAGCAGCATCACAAAATTCAATACTTAAAGATGAATTGAAAATGAGTATTAATAAGACACAAAAATTTTTAAAAGAGTAAACAAGTTATTTAAAACTTAAAGATAATCATTTTAAATATTTTCAACCAGCAACTAATTCAGAAATTTATGAGTTTTTTAAGATATGAATTATTTTATAATATTCAAATATTTAGAAATTAAAATTTAAAATAATAAGTAATCTTATTTATTTAATAGATAATTTGTAAAAAAGTTAATACAACTTTAGATTAAAATAATATTACTCAAAATAAATTATGTCATGATAAAGATTTTTAAAATTTTTACATACATATTATTAAATGCATAAATATTCATTTTAGGTATATATTTATTTAATATTTTTGTTATTTTAAATTCTTATTATCAAAACTTAACATTTTTATTCTAAAGATCAAAAATATAACCAACTTGATTGCAAAATATATATGCTAATTCATTTTTCAAAATATATTTTTAATGATATTCACTTTATTCTTAACTCTTAATTATCCTCAAATATGTAAAAAAAATCCCTTAACACAAAAATTATGATAGTGTTAATATGTAATTCTTACGAACTATGACTGTTAGATAGAATATTCAAGTAGTTTATTTTTTTAATTGTACAGTAATCTTTTAACAGTTTGCCAGTTTTAATTCAGACAGTCTATTAAAAGTGTTTAGACTTATTATAATGCATGGTGATTTAACAGATTATCAGTAATTATATTTATAAGATAATTGTTTATTCATGAGTAAAATAATAAAATGAAAGAGAAAAAATAAAGAAAATAAAATAAAAAAGAAAAAAAACGAATTACTGAAATTAAAATGTAATGCGGTAGGCCAGTTTCCTCTAAAACTACTAAAACTAACTTGTCGAATTTCTGTCTGTCTTCCTTTTTATATAAATTAAAAAGCTATCTATTTATATAAAATAAATTACATATAAAGATATAACTAACACGTCTACTATGTTAACTATGTTTAATATATAAGTTATGTCACATATATCTGACATATCACATATATCACTTATGTCAAATTAATCAATCTTTTGCATTACATAAGCTGCATCACATTTACCCGTTCACATTACTCCCGCTTAAGATTTCTGCTCTTGCAGAAATATTAAGAGTTTCTAGTATGAGAGCTTGATATTCACTGGACTTTAATCGTTAAATCATGGTCAAAGTCAAACATTGAGTATCAAAGATTCGTTGGACTCCTATATTTTCAAAGAGATGATAAATTTGAATAGCAGTTCAGTAATAATGTTTAGTTATCATTGCCATTTGTATCATTTGTTAAGCTGGTGAAATAGTCATATCGTTAATAAGCTGACCTAAATAAAATTCATTAATAAGTGATAAAATACGGTTTCTTATACGAGTAGAATGAAGTAGAGTTTGATAAGTGAATTGCATTTTTTGAGCTAAGAATGCGTTAGTTCAATATGAAAGTTCTATTATTCAGATTTTTTCTTTAAGAACAGTTATAAGGATTTGAAGTTCTTTTAAAACTACTTCAAAATTTGTAAGTTCCATTATAATTTTATTCATTTGAATAACAACAACATAGATCTTTTTTATAATATTTGAATGTCAATCATTATTCAATAATAATCTGAGGTTCTCATTTAGTTCGTTTTAGATATAGTTTTAAAAGATCTGTATATATTGGATTCTTTTTAACTTATCCATCTATAGTACAAAGTTTATAAGTTCTAGGTCTCACAATATCATGGATGTAGAAAGGTCCATTGAATTTGTCCTTAAATTT